GGTCATTGTATTGTCAGGATCAACCCCAAAGATGGTATTAAAAGCAAAATAAGATAGGAAGGTATCTTCTATGTGAAGCGCGATATCGTTTATAAAAGGAACAAATAATAAAGGCCCCAGAATACTTCCCTGAGAAACGTCAGCAGAAACCCTAAAAGAGCTAGACGAATATTTCCCCGTATCTCTTATAACAACGGATTGGGGTTTCCCCCTTAAATAAGACTCAATCGAAATATGGATTGGGCTACGAATTCCAAAATTGTTAAATTTATTTAGGACATGGGCATGGTATCCGAGTTGGTAAAGCGCTTATAGCTATTTACTCGGTACCGAATATCGATGGTTCGAATCCATCCCGGAGCTACAAATTTTATTTGTAATTCGCTTTAGATTAAGATGGGAGTGAACTGTCGATGCCCTAGATGTGGTTCGGACTCCACAATAAACTCGTCTCTTTTACTCAACACAAAATCCTAGGATTTTCTGGGAGTCACTTTGGTGACTTGAGAGGCGGTTAAGAAAACAGTATCGCTAAATGTCTTATTGATTGTAAACGAAAATCCTAGATATTCACAGGTGACCTGAATCCGACTATGGCAGATCTCAAAGATCTGCTCTCAGAATACTTAAAAAGAAAGTTCCATCCGTACATGGTACATTTAGTCCAAGAGCTTACGGAGAATGATTTTGTTAGGAGATTACAATTTTGCGAAATTATGAGCGACACGTGTCAACAGAATAAAAAATTTGTAAATAAAATCTTATTTTCTGACGAGGCCACTTTCATATTAGATGGGTCAGTCAATGAACATAACTGCCATTATTAGGCCCATCCTTACTGAATTATGGAAGCTCGTACTCGGCGATCGCAGAATGTAAATGTTTCGATAATCACTTTATTGGTAAATTTTTAATTGATTGATGTAGTTTTCCACGAAACACCAAAGCACTATATACTGCACTCGACGCGCGTCTCGCCAACCAGGTTAGTATCATCTGGAGATGATTAAAACTAACCTTATGTATCCTATTTATACCTAAACTATTGTCATGGTTCGGTGAACCGTGACCCGCTAACCAATAAAGTGGGTTATTTTTATACTTTGTGATTTCCAAGCTTTCAAATGCATCCAGCTGTCAAATAATATTTGTTACATTCCTAATTAATCTTAAACTGCTAATGTCTATTTTATGGTTGTTCTCAAATGCATGTTGGAAACACTAGACTTATCTAGTCTACCATATTTGAGATTATATGATATGCTCTTTGAATATGGTTTGAATTAATCCTCTAGCCTGTCCAACATACTTTTGGTTACAGTCCTTACAGCTAATTTTGTAAATACCTGACTTTCGTTTGTTTCAATTTTTTTCTTTTGGATTGCCTCAAAGTTGTTGTAGTTTATTTCCCGATGAATGAAACACTGTCATACCTACATCTTTAAAAATGTATCGAATGGAATCAACACAAATTTCGGATATTCTGATATTTTGGAAGATCGAAGAATTTCGAAGCGACTTTAAATTTTCGTTTCCTATTTATTTTACTAATTACTCGCAGCTATATCCTTATTCAATGCCTTTTCTTTTTAAAACCTCTCCTTATTGAGGGGGAAGTTTAATAGACGATGGACTAGAAAATTAAAACTCGCTATATTGTGTTGAGCACAATGGTGAGAGTCATTTAGAGATATATCTTAGAGCACTGGTATCTTTTCAGATATGTCTGGTGTGAGGTTAATTAGGAATGTAACAAATACTAGACGGCTGGATGCAATTGAAACCTTGGAAATCACAAAGTGTAAAAATGGTATGAATAGTGAAAGAGGGTCTATCCCAAATAGCTCTCTTTATTGGTTAGTGGGTCACGGTTCACCGAACCATGACAATAGTGTAGATATAAATAGGATACATTCTTAGTATAAGGTTAGTTTTAATCATCTCCAGATAATGCCAACTTGGTTGGCGAAACACGCGTCGAGCGCAGTATATAGTGTTTTGGTGTTTCAGGGAAAACTATGTCAGTGTTATCTTTACATCAAATGTTCCAACCCACTCCAGGAATAGAAAAATATCTGGATTTGTTACCCCAGTCGTTCCGGTAATAGAAGCTCTTTATCCCAATAACGGTATTTGGTTTCAACAACATAAGGCGCCTCTCACTTTGGACTAGGAGTCAGAAATTAGTTAAATGACATTTTCCCAAACGGATTGTGTAACCGTAGAGTGGCAGTAGTATGCAATAGAGTGGTCGGCTAGATCCCCTGATTTGACCCCTTGTAATTAATTTTTATGAGGTTATATAGAAAATCACGTATATAAGAAACAACTAAATAACTTAGAAATCTTAAAACCTGAATTGTTGGTAAAATGCGGACAGTCGCACTTGACGTTTTGGAAATGTGAGGTAGTCATTTATATAATGGTTGGCACTTTTTTTACAAAATAGTGGGCGAAATGTCAAACATTTAATGTACTAATGTAGGTGTCAAGTTTTCATATTGGTTGAATAAGATAGTGCTATATTTATGTTACTTGTTAGTTTACATAACTGACTGTGCCATATTTTGCTATTGGCTGCATGATCTTACTCCGTTAATAAAATTATTAAAACATTGATTTTTCTCGAAAATTTCCCTACGTAACCCTATAAAAATGTTATCCTCTCGCATACAAAAAACAACAAAAAAAATGGTGTTATTTGAAGAAATAAAGTTGGTTCCATAGCAACGAGACCATATCGGATAAAAATATTTGAGGTCACCAAAATATAGCAAAAGAAACAAACAAATTTTTACTTAAAAATGTTATCAGTGGACAAATATTTAGAGAGAATATAGATATTAATTATTCCATGCTTTTGGCGGACTCTGCATATTGTAAAATGCAGGACATATAATTCATAAAAAAGTTTCCCATCTATGGAAGCATAACAGAAAGTTTTCAGTTTTGTTTACTGTTAAGTTAACTGCGTAGTTGTATTATTTGTCCATATTTAGTTGATTTAAAAAAAATCTATTTCTTGTCACAGTATCTTACATTTTGTAAAAAATAATACAAAATATAAGATTCTCTTAAAAGCCCATTTGTATCTTGTACATCAGTGTGTTATTGGGTATAAAAAATGCTGAAAAACAATTTGGCACAGTTGTGTCTCATACTTAATTACATTGGGGGTTCGTTCAACTTTGCCGAGTTATTTTTCCTTTTACACTTTTTCCATTGTTTTATGCTTGATGTAAAGTGTTTTGTTTACAGGGAAAACTTTTCTTGTGAATAACAAATAGTTTTCAATTTGAACTTATAAAGATTTAACTCGGGTATTAAATTAGTGTTTTAATTCCATATAAAACGGGAGAATTGTACATAACATGTCCAAGAGACACTCTGTCAGGGTATAAAATATAAATTTTTTGATAAATAAGTAATTCTATACTGAATTTCACAACATTTTATTCCCATTCGAAAAACGTAAATAAATATAAGCAAATGCTTTTATGGGATATTGATATAAATCAAAATTAAAGACAATTCATTACCTGTAAATAAAACTTTCCACAGTTGTTTTATATATTTCCATATTAGATTATGTTTGGTTCGAATATTATATTTATCTAAAATTTGATTTGTGGCAAAGCAAATTATAGTGATGTGATGATAATAAAAAAGCGAAATTATAAATTTAGGTAGCGCAGCGTAGTGATTTCTCAACATTCATTAAATAGAAATAAATATATCAACAATTAGTTGATATTGAATTGTTAGTTGGTATAATCAATACATAAGAAAATTTAAGACGAAGAACCAGTATATTTGTATATACAATTGTATTTTTTAAAGTCATAAAAAATTTGCGAACAGAAAATGTCTTGTACTTATACCATCTAGTCTGCATCTGTAACAAAGTTTTTCATAAATTAAATAACAATTGACATAATTTGATTTTACGGAACTTTAGCAGAACACCATTTTTCCATATAATTTTGCTGCATTATAAATAAAAACAAATGCCATTCAATATTTGAAAGAGTAATTATGACAAAGAATACATCGCTTAACAACAATTAAAAATGAAATAAAATTCCTGTAGGTATGTCACTGCCAAGGTAAATAAAAAAATCCGTTTCAATTCACTTTTGTAAGAACTGCGAACAATAATGAATTCCCTTCCTGGTCGTGAGGGGGACAGTATAAAGCGTAGAACCCCGAGTTCATTTTCACAAATTGATGCAATAATCATTACAGGACTACATCCCAGGATAACTTCCCGAATAATCTCTGTCCCGCAGAGTGCTAGTCCGGATCTGATGAGAGTTCATTAACCCTCTAGAAGCAGGCGCAGAGTTGGGACTTTCACTCCTCCCTCCTGACTTCCCGCGTCCCGCATCCATATTACGACTAACCTGCTGCCCAAGGCATGCCAAGCTACCAGGCAAGAATATCACGAGCTTCCAATACTACAATTTACAGGGTGTTACGTATGTATTTACAACTGTTGTAAAAATAATATCCCCGTTTAGAGGATACAAATAAATTGAAGAAAATAATAAATTCAGTATCATAATATTAAAAATAGAAATATAGTTACTAACCGATTATGACTCTAGTAAGAATCTTAAATTATCTTTAATATCAGTTATAGAGATTTTCCTTAACTTTTACTCTAATACATTTTAACATTATCTGATTTATTTTGGATATATTCTTCTATATAAGCTTAAATTAAATAAATTCACTTGGATTAAATATGAGTATCCGTTTGGCCATTCTGTAAAACTTCTTTAATATAGCAATGGCAATATTTGTGTATAAGTAAAATGATTCCAACATTCGCTTAAATAATACAACAGGATTATCTTTATTGAAAAATATAAAGGACAACGTGGGAAAATGTTCTAGTAACCATTCAAAAGAATTACATTCTAAATATCTGATACTAAAAGTTCTTACAGATTTTCTGTTTGTCTATAACAAAGTTAAAAAAATATGAACCCATATGTGGCTTCATGGTCGAGTGGTAGAAACATTTACCTCTCACTCTAGAGTCCCGGGTTTGATCCCCGGCCGAGGACTAGGATTTTTTCTAAAACCAAAAATTAATCCTAGCATACTCGGACATTGTCTCTAAATGTGTAGCCCTCTCCCACACCTTGAGGTACCTTCAGGGATAGAGGGGGTGTATTACCTATAGTATTTAATTGTCCATATTGCATTATCTATGGTTCCTTTTATTGTATATCCAGTACAGTTCATGGACTTTCTATCAATTGCACACAAGTGTTGTGTTTGTTAAGACTTGGTTGGGGTATGAAATCTTAATTAATTTTTCAAAAGGATTTTCCGTAGTAATTTCGTATAGAATCATTTTATATTAAATAAATGTTTTTGTAGGATCAAAGAAGTCACTTCTTTATCAGTCGTTTGTTCTTTGCTTTTATTCATTCAAAGAAAAAGTTGAAGAGAATAAATATTTCAAACAGAAAATGTATAAGTGGTAAACCAAAGTTGTTCACGAAATCTTCTAGGTCTTCTTTTAATTGCCTATAGAGATAATAAATGAAATAGGGCTAAATCATTGTCTATCATTTGAATGAGATTTTGACAATAATGTCGTTGAATTGAAGACTTTACAATTTCCACTGTTTTGTAACTCTCATTCAAATGTTTCATTCTCTTATAAACTCGTGTTTGAGAAAAATATTTATTTTATATTTAATTCCTAAACATTGATAAGGTTTCGGAGGGTTCAGCTTTCTTAGATTTGTTTCTATACTATATATACTTTATTTTTGTAGCTGATTTTGTGCTAACCATGGCAATAACTTGGCATAAATAAACTACAATCAATAGATGGCCATTAGTTTAAAGCTAATTGCCAAAAACAATACTTACCTGCGTTTTTTATAACGATCGTGATAAAGAAAAACAGTTTAATTAATGATTTACAATTACTTTTTTATTGTTATCTTATTGAATATTTTGCAAAATCTTTTAATTTTAAATATTTGTCTTCTAAGATTCTACTAATTTATAACAAGAAAATTCTTTATAATGTATAATTTCTTGAAGAGTAATTCTTTACCTGCAGTTACTTTTCTAATTAAAATAGTCTGTGTTCATAGGGGTAATTTATATAAAAACGTTAGAAACTTTCTTAGATTATCACTTAAAAAACATAAAGTTATCTTCGTATTGATAAGTAAACCATTGAACTCTGTCTTAAGGTTAACATAATATCAATAATTTTTAAATTATTAAGTGGCTGTATTTGTCATTCCTGGCCAGTACTTTTGTTTACCAACAAAAAAAAATCGGTACAGTCAAATAAGTAATGCTATATATTAGAGTTTATAGGATTATTATTTCATTCACGCAAATTCTTGTCATTATATGCGGATGATTTAAAGATTTATTCTATTATTAGAAATATTGAAAATTGTTTTACTCTGCAGAAAGATTTGGAAAACCTTAATATTTGGTGCATTAAAAATAAATTACCCTTAAATATCACAAAGTGCAAGTTATGACATTTTCTAATGGAATACAAGCACTAAATTTTGACTACACTCTTAATAATATTGTAAATGCAAGACCTACTGTCTTTCGAGACTTAGGTATAATATTTGATAGCAAACTCTGTTTCATAAATCATGTCAATAGCATAACATCAGAGAGTTTTAAAATGTTAAGCTTTATTATAAGAAACTCCCGTGAGTTTAATAACGCAGATACGCTGAAATTGCTTTATAACACTTTTGTGCGATCTAAGCTTGAATATGCAGCTATTATTTCCTTATTATAACATACCCGTTAACAGTATTGAAAAGGTACAACGGAAGTTTTTAAAACATGCTTGTTTCAGAGAGGATGAAGTATACCCAGCTATTGGATATCCAAATGGGTGATATCTCAGTTAACATTCTTAAACCAAATTATAAGTAATGACATCGATTGTCCCGATATAATGCAAATGTTAAATTTTCCTGTTCCCAAAGTAACCGCAAGGCAGCATATGACCTTTACTTTGAGTATACCTCTTACAAATATTGGTAAATTTTCTCCTTTATATCAAATGTGCAATAATTATAATGAACACCAACATACTCTTAATATTTTCTTCTGCAATGCAGCCACAATTAAAAAATCGTAAAACAATTTTTTTTCCTCAAAAATTTGCATGTGTTAGTTATAAATATGTAATGTATAATAAATTTGCATACGTTAATTATAGATAAGTATATGAATATGTGTGTATGTGGGTATGAATATATATATATATATATATATATATATATATATATATATATATATATATATATATATATATATATATATATATATATATATATATATATATATATATATATGTATATATGTATATATGTATATACGTATATATGTATACATGCATATATGTTTGTATACATTTTAAAATTAAGCTTAAAGTCATATTCTTAATGCTCTATGTAATATTGGTTTTTTTTTACTTCTGTCTTTTTAAAATATTATTTTATATTCTATTTTTGTAAATCCCATTCTGTAAATGGTTCCCCGTTGAATGGAGTATATAAATAAATAAATGAATAAATAAATAAATAAATAAATAAATAAATAAATAAATAAATAAATAAATAAATAAATAAATAAATAAATACATAAATACATAAATACATAAATACATAAATACATAAATAAATAAATAAATAAAAAACAAAAAAAAGGTTAATGACAATTTTTGACATATTCTAAAACAAACAAACACAGTACTATAAAATAACTAATAGTTGATATTTAAAAGAATTTGAAGGTTCATAAAATTAGATTTTTTTTTTAAGTTAAAAATTGTCAATTTACCTTCTTCTATATACAGAATCCTGAGGATGATTTAGTTAAAATCAAAACGTCGTCTCCATAAAAATTGGTTTCTCTATAAAACTTGGGCTATCCACATTAAACGTAAACATTCCATCATCAAATACCAGCATATTTTAATTTTGGCCTGCATTGTATAATATAAAAATCGAGATATCTTTAAAATGTTTTGAGTTGTTCATTATAAAGCCTAGATTTTTATAGGCATTACACTTAAATTATTAACAAAATATTTAATAAAATCGTCGAATTGGTTTAATCTTAAATGTATTAAGAATAATATATGCAAAGGGGTTCCTTAAGAGGGCTAACCGAACCAGTGTTTGTAAGGTAATTTTTCAAAATTTATTTCTTCCATACGGTTTGGTCAAATTACACCAAATTTGGAGGATCAGTAGTTGAAAGTGTAGTAGAGGGTACATGTATATCTATTTTAATTAATTTTCACTTTATGTAGGGAAAATGTATATCTATTTTAATTAATTTTCACTTTATGTAGGGAAAATTTATACTGTAAATATAAGTGAAATTTGGACGTGATTAGCTCCTGAATTATGATATCAATCGGTAAAATTCGAGGTAAAATTCATACATGTCGTCTAGAATGAATCTTCATAATTATGCTCAGCAAGTTTCAAACTTTTATTCCGTACCATTTTGTTAAAAAGAATTAGTATTAGAAGTATCTTTGTCACTACAAATGGAGCAAGGAAGTGTTACCTCTATCGGGAATCGCACCTCAATGAAGTCGGTGAAGAAAACGTCCAGTGAAGGTATAGTCAAGAGCAAAATTATTCAGCGGCGCATGTATAAAAACTTTCTAGAGAGTGACACAGCTCTCCGAAGCTTTTTCCCGACTAGGCCCCTTAATAATTAGATACATTATTATTCATTGCGAAAATTCATTACTTCCACAAAATGAGATATAATCCGAGTAATAAAAATAAACAATAAAAAGAATCAGTAATCTCTGTTGGTGCCGATAAATGAAACACATTACTATAATTATGTCAACTGTATAGTATTGCTTTATTTGTTGTTGGAAAATATTAAAATAATGTAACGACAATGTATCTGAGAAGATAAGACAGATACTAATACAATGTGTAATAAGATAATATCGATATATATTAAAATGCACATTTATATTCTATCACCACTTGAAAAAATGTTATAATTTTACTGTCATTTTACTCGAAATGAATAAAACTGAATTAAAAAATTTAGGAAGTTTTTGCCATGTACTTGGGGCACAAAAAGACACAAAAGGACAAAGGACACAGATATGGATATCGGTGTCTCGATATTATTGTTCCTATACTAAGTAACAAAATAAAATACGGTCAAGTTCTATAATAGATAATATGCTGATTTCATAATAAAACTAAAACACAGTTATTGTTTCAAAATTCGATTAAAACCGGGCACATTATAATCGTCTAACGTGGAGAATCATCAGCGATACAGCAAGATATAGAATATAAAAACAAAAGCACGTATTTCGGCTTGGCCACACTCGCCTTAAATCTGGGAAATAAGGAGCGGGGAAAACAGCGAGTAAATTATACAATATGATTCAGCTATGCGGGCGCTAATAATCGTGATGTAGGAATTCTTCCCTAGAGTATTTCCAGCGTTGTCAATTATCATATTTCAACTTTAAAAATATCCAGTTACAAGGTGACATTTTGATCTCTTTTGACGTTTGTTCATTGTTTTCAGGTGTTCCCATACTATAGACTACCATAAGAATCTACTTGAATTAAACAATCCCTATCAATATGTAGTAAAACTTTACATGAAACATAACTGCTTTCGATTTAACGATAACTTCTACAAACAACATGAAGGAACAGCAACGGGTAACTCTTTGTCACCATTCATAAACAGATTCGAAACAGAAGCGAAAGAAGAATTCTTGTATTTGCCCAGGGTTTGGCTTAAGTTTGTGGATGATATTTTTGCAGTGTTTGATAAAAATTCATATTGTCAACTTTATTTCTAAATTAATTAAACAGTTGGTTCGTGTCAGTTAAATTCACATATGAAATTAAAAACTCTGGACAACTACCAGGTTTAGATGTATTGATAATTAGAAAAAGTGAAAATAACTTTGACATACAGAAAAAAATACCAGTATTCTAGGATATATCCCTAAGGACTTTCACCATTATGCTCAACATGAAATAGAGCGTATTAAG